TATGGTTTTTCCAGTGGTCATGTATGGATGTGAGAGTTGGACTGTGAGGAAAGCTGAGAGCCAAAAAATTGATGCTTTTGAACTATGGTGTTGGAGAAGACTCTGAGAGTCCCTTGGACTGCAAGGAGATCCAACCAGTCCATCCTAAAGGAGATCAGTCCTGGGTGTTCATTGGAAGGACTGATGCTGAAGCTAAAACTCCAATACTTTGGCAACCTGATGCGAAGAGCTGACTCATTGGAAAAGACCCTGATGCTGGGAGGGATTAGGGGCAGGAGGAGAAGGGGACGACAGAGGATGAGATGGCTGGATGGCATCACCAACTCGATGGGCATGAGTTTGAGTAAACTCCGGGAGCTTGTGATGGACAGGGAGGCCTGGTGTGCTGCGATTCATGGGATCGCGAAGAGTCAGACACGACTGAGTGACTGCACTGAACTGCACTGAGCACTCAGGTGGAAGCTGCATTGCACGCTCCATCCCCTAAGGTGCACAATTAGCTCTATTTGCTCTCGCCTCTGCTTTTTTGATTCTCTGCACTCCCGCTTCTGCAGTACCTGAATCTGAACTTCATGATCAAGCTCAGTGATGTCCAATCAAAACATAAGGTGTGCCATTAACTTAAAGTTGAAATTAAATGTAAATTTAAATTGAAAATGTTTCTGGTAGCCATGTTAAAACAGTAAAAAGAAACAGGTGAAATTTTAATAATGTATATAATATTTAATAATCTATCCAAATGGGCTTCCCAGGTGGCCCAGTGGTTAAGAATCCACCTGCCAATGCAGAAGACAAAAGAGACTCAAGTTCGATCCCTGGGTTGGGAAGATCCCCTGGGGCAGGAAATGGCAGCCCACTCCAGTATTCTTGCCTGGGAAATCCCACGGACAGAGGACCCTGGTGGGCTACGGTCCATGGGGGTCTCGAAGAGTCAGACATGACTGAGCACGCATGTGCAATCTATCCAAAAGGTCGTTTCAACATGTGATCAATGAAAACATTGTAATGTGGTATTTTGCGTTCTTTTTTCTTTTCATTCTCAGTCCTGGAAAACCAGTGTGTATTTTACCCTTCCGCAATGTCTCAATTCAGACTAGCCACGTGTCAAGGGTTAAATAAGCTGAGTGAAGCGGCCCCCTTGCTGGACAGCAAGGAGGGAGAATGTTTCCATCACTGCAGGAAGTTCTCTGGGATGGCACACATCTCGCCCATTCATGAGGACTTTGTGTAGAAATTTGTCTGTCTGAAGAGGGCATTGCCAGTCATCTCTCCTTTCCAAAGACCCTTAGGCAGGGCCTCTAGTCAGCAGAGTAAGGAGCAAGGCCGTTTCTGATTATTTGGCCCCGTTTCTCGCGCCCCAGGGCTCCCGTTGTACTGCAGCCTGAGAGCAGAGGGAGCAGTCAGGGGCCCTCCACTCACCTGCTCCCTGCACACTGCCGCCTCTGTCCCTCCCTGAAAGGGAGACGGGAACGTGTTAGTGGCTCAGTCACGTCCAGGTGTTTGTGACCCCACGGACAGGCCATGGGATTCTCCAGGCCAGAGCATGAGTGGGTAGCCTTTCCCTTCTCCAGGGGATCGTCCCAACGCAGGATTGAACCCAGGTCTCCTGCATTGCAGGCGGAGTCTTTACCAGGTGAGCCACAAGGGAAGCATGCCCTGTTACTCCCTGGTGGGTGGAAATGTTCATTTACGTATCATTCTTTAAAGCACCCAAGTCTCATTTTGAAAGGGCCTGGCTTCCTTCCACTCACCCTCGAAACAGTGGTTTGCTTGTGAGTGTCTGACAATCAACTCTCTCAAGGCAGAAACCCTGATCTGTAACATTTGCCAACTACTGGGGCACAGTGGGAAAGGATCCACCTGCCACCGCAGGAGACACGGGTTTGATGCCTGGGTCGGGAAGATGCCCTGGAGGAGGGCATGGCAACCCGCTCTAGTATTTTTGCCTGGAGACTCCCAGGGACAGAGGAGCCTGGCAGGCCAGAGTCCGTGGGGTCGCAAAGAGTCAGACACACCTGAGCACACGAGTATAAATACTTCCACTGTGAGCAGTGATTGCAGGCTCCCCGTGTGACACCTCTGAACGCTGGAGCGGGGCGGGGCTTGAGGGGGAGAAAGGGGAGCTGATGCCAGCGGCCTGGCAGAAGGTGCTTTGACTCTTCGCTGGAGCATGGTGGCATTTCTGTGGACTTCTCCCCCTCCCATTGTCGGGAACCTGGAGCATCTACATCTTAGAATATCCTTCACGTTTGCAGCAAAAGTATCCAAAGGCCTCAGTGTGTTGGATCAAAATGAGACTTTTGTTTTTGACTATGCTAGGCCTTGATCGCTACCCATGGGCTTTCTCTAGTTGAAGTGAGAGGGGCCTCCTCTTCCCTGCAGTGCTGGGGCTTCTCGGGGAGGACCCACCCCCACTGCGATGCTGGGGATCTCGTTGGGGAGGACCCACCCCCACTGCGATGCTGGGGGTCTCATGGCTTCTCTGCTGCGGACCCCGGGCTCCAGCCGCGCGCGCGGGCTTCAGTAGCTGTGGCGCGTGGACTTGGATGCCCTGCAGCGTGTGGATTCTTCCTGGACGAGGGATTGAACCTGTGTCCCCGCATTGGCAGGCGAATTCTTATCTACTGCACTGCCAGGGAGGCAGGAATAAGAGCAATAATAAGGAAACAAACTTGAAAGACGTAGTAAATAAACCCTAGAGAACTAATGCACATATGATGAATATAGACAATAATATTGTCCTGTGATTACATAATGTGATAAATATGGCATTGTCATATTTAATAATGAATAATAATTGAATCCTGAATCTTCATTGGAAGGAGTGATGCTGAAGCTGAAGCTCCAATACTTTGGCCACCTGGTGCGAAGAACTGACTCATTGGGAAAGACCCTGATGCTGGGAAAGATTGAAGGTGGGAGGAGAAGGGGATGACAGAGGATGAGATGGTTGGATGGCATCACTGATCCGATGGACGTGAGTTTGAGTAAACTCCGGGAGTTGTGGACGGACGGGGAGGCCTGGCGTGCTGCAGTCCATGGGGTCACAAAGAGTCAGACACAACTGAGCAACTGAACAACTACAGTAATATTTGCCAAAGATAATAACTGCCACACTATAATGGCAATTATTACTATATTGCAATATATAAATATATTAAAGTAACAGACTGTACACCTTAAAGGACACAATGTGTCAGATTTATTCAATTAAGAAAAATTAGCTGAAAGTGAGATCAGCTTTCTTTAGCACCTTTTAATTCTGGTCCGATGACAGAGGTAGTACCTGAGATTCCATAAAAAGAAACAACATCAAATACATAAGTAGTTTGAGAATTTACCTGAATTTCTCATTGACCCATTCTTTCAGGAAAAAAAAAAGTATGTATGGTTCATGAGGCTGAAATAAACATTGTAAAGGCAAGACAGTCAATCTTCATGTAATACATCGAGTGTGGGACTGTAACCTATAGAATCCAGCCTCCAACAAGCCATAGGATCTTGGAGAAACCTTTTAAACTACTCAAGGTCTCATGTTTCCCACCTGTAAAATTAGGGGTTGGAGTTGCTCAGTGTTTTCTAAATTTTAGTCATGACCATCACTATTTTTGTCGTTTCCTTATGCCGTCTGCACTGCTACTCTCCTAATATTTTTATTTAATCAGCTCCCTTTTTGCTTAACTACTGAGCATTTTTCCTAAGTGATAATATCTGTGAAATCATAGCTTCAACATTCTAGTATGCTTTTCCTCATGCACACTGATACACAAACATAACTGTAACCAATGTGTGTGTACTTCCTAAAATTGTCTTGTGTGCGACATGTGGCTAGTATATTATGGATGAGGTGGTCTCTGTGGGTCCCGCAGCATTGCTGGTTTGAGAGCTGTCGTAATCTCAGCCCCTTCAGTGCTTGCTATGAAAATCTCAGGATTGATTCACGTTGCAGTAACACCTGTCAGTCAAGAAGATGAGTGAGGCTGACGGATCGTCTAGCCATGTTGCTGTCCAAGTCCTTCTTTACAGACGAATGTGGTTTGAGACTTCTATTCTGAAAGGCATTGGCTCCTATACCAATATAACTTTCTCATTCCATCAAGCAGCAGAAAGCTCTGATCAAAAATTTAAATGAGCACATTTTGCATATAATATTTTGTCTCTCACTATTAAGCTCGGTAAATAGGTTGAAATCTGCATATAAATCACTTATATTTGCCTAGATGTCTCTATGGGGGTTGCAGCAATGGTGCTTTAAATATCATGTGAAATTTATAAGAGATTGCTGGGTATGGAAAAGACTATGGAATTATTTTTATAAAAAATTAGAAATTAGAAAGCAGGACTTTCTTTAGAGTTGATGTGGCTTAAATAATTTCAACCAGATGAACAGTTGTCAACAATTTGCATTTAAAATATAATTATGTTCGTCTGTCTGCTGTTATACTTGGAAATT